TGTTTTTAAAAAAAAATTTTTTTCATTATTTTATTTTTTCGAAAAGATTTGACACCTGTTGAACAATTAAATTCGAATTATTTAGTAATAAACGCTATCATATACGCAGTGTTCGTTCGAATTTCCAAACTGAGGTGTCAAATTAAAAGGCTTGAACTGCAGATTTGCAATAATTGTCTACTTTTTTGGAAAGAAATCCCTCCTTTTAAAAAATTATATTCAATTTAAAAAAATAAATCAATAATTAAAAAAAGGCTTTGTTTCTGAAATATATATGAACCATTAATTTTTAAGTCGGACGGATTTCGTTATGTCTCCGATTCGCGTGGAAAATGTGGGACTAAAGTTGGCAAAAAGCAGATTTTATTTCGGATATCGGCAGAATATCCCTTCACTAACAACATTTGTTCCGCAATATAGATATTCTGCCGAAATGTACAATGCCCATTTCTAGAAGACTCTTTTATTGAATGGCGTTTTGCTAACTTTAGTCGCACATTTGCCACGCCCATTTCTAGGGGTTTGTCGCCTTAAAGAAATATTTTGCCCTACAAATATTATTTCTAGATAGGTATTCTATCGGAATCCGCAATAAAATTTAAATTTTTGCGAAACCCCGATTTTTAACACCTTGCTTAAAATATATCATGATAAGTTTTCGAAAACAAATTATAAAGAATTGTTGGCTCTCACAAAAATGGTTAAAAAAAAATATTTTAAAAATAGTTCTTGAAAAACGCCCATTTTGTACCATGTTTTTTATAGAGCATTAAACAAGGATTACGATGTTGTAATTTTAAATCCCTAATTTACTGGTCTTCACTATGCAAATCAATTAACTAAGTTAGCTTTAGGACAATCATGACCATCTTATATCGTCGTTTAAAGTACAAAACCGTGTATCGTCATTCTGCAAAATCGCGTAACTGGCATTTGCTGCTAAAAATTGGATTTGCTCACACAAACTCTTGGCTCAATCCTTATTCATTCGTCCTGAAATATACTAGCCAGAAATGCGATTGCTTTATAAAAAAGATAACCATTAGGCTGGGTCGATTTTGTATGGGGGAAAATAAAAGTCATTTGACCGCATTGTAATAGTAATATTATGATGTCTTAGGTCTCAGCCAATTGTCATTGGCCACGAAATATTAATTTAAAACTTATCTTTAGCCCGCGCAATTGAATCAAAGTGTATGCATTTTGAAAATGAAACTTTGGCTTATAATATCTATGGAATGCGTTATTGTTATAAACAGGACGATATATCAAATTAAGGGCTATTGAATTTAGAACCTCACGTTCATTTATCATTTTTCAATAAGTCTACACGTTTTTAAGACATTAAAATAAAAAATAAGAAAACTATGATTTTCCCTTATGAATTTTCAATTCTTCATTACTTCAGCAACCAAGTGAAAAATCCAAAAAAGTGAGATGAGATTTATTTCAAACCTTTGAATGTTTTCGGATGTTTATATAATATTAAAATGACCATGGACTTGGTCACGCCGATTTGGTCAGTTTTCAAGATCGTGTTGAATGAATGTATTGTCAAAGATTAGGAATCGTTCGACAAGTTAATAGTAGTTTCAAACATATAAGTATTTACATACATTACAATTAGGGTGAGAAACGCCCATTTTAAGTCCATTTTTGCAGTCTTGAAAACTGGTGCGGAATGGTTTCATTAGTCGCCGCAGAAGCACATTTTTCGCGGTTTCTAAATTTTCCGTTATATGAAAGTAGGGAACGTGCAATAAGTGTTTAGATATACATAAAAATTTTAGTTAATTCCATTATGTGAAAAAGTGTCTGTAGGTAAATGCAATAGTCTTTAACATATCCTGGGTAATCCTTTTGAGGACTCTCCAATTGGAGGATATTGCTTTGCATTCAGCTTGAACGAAAAAAGTCACTCGCTGGCACAGTTTTCTGTAATCCGGTTCTTTTATTTAAAGGTTATTTATACAATTGAAGAGAATTTTTTTTAGAAAAAAACTGGAAATCCACTTAAGTTTTTCAATATAACTTTGGTAAATGTTACTCGAACGGTGCGTAATAATTAACAAATTGAAGGCGAGACTTAATGTTACTGATTTTTGATAATAATATGCTAAAATAGTTCAGATTATAAACAAATTATTTTAAAATAAAAAAAATCTTGAACAAAATTTTTTATCATTTACTTATATTTGCAATTTTTATATTGTATGCATAAACATAAGTAAACCAATTAGTGTGTCTAGAAGTTGTGCCTGTTCAGTGTTTCCATACTAATTGCATAAACAAAATTTTTCCGCGATGATGGAAAATAATGGCTATTCTATTAGAGCTACCGAAATTGTTCCTAAATTTGCAAAAAACCGCAAACTATAGCTAATATTAAAAAAGGATTAGAATATTTGGAACTAGGGATCTAAATGCACGCCAGCAATATTAATGTTGTTCTTTACATCTTTTGACTATAGACCAGTGAAATTATCAAGAGAACAATTAAAATTTTCTTGAAAATAGATGAGTTTGAGATTAACGATAAGATAAAAGGCTGCGCGAAATGATACTTGACTTTATCTTTTGCGTTAAAGGATTCATTATCTAATAATATGCACCAAAATTTTTAGCTAAACCCAGAATTTTTAACAAGAATTGGTCTTATTCGACTAGTGTGCTGTGGGTCACTTGGCGGTCGACGCGCGGGCTCTTACAATTAAAATGAAAGACTAATATTTCGCAGGCTTGTTGTTGACTTCATGATACAATATATTTTTGCTATTACCAAGGGATTTGAGAAAAATTAGATTTTCGACCCGCCCTAATAACCATTTCGAAATATGAGTGCTTTTACTCTCTAGAAAATAATTTATGCAACCTCACATATGCGGTTTTGCATTATCTCGATACGCGGTTTTGCATTTTGTTGATACGAGACGATATACTACATAAATATTAAGCTTTAAAATGACGTTAAGATGAAGTCTCTATGCTGAGCATAACCGCAGATATAACGATATGAAGAAATACATGATTAGTCAGAATCACGAAAAAATCCAAACTTTCACAGATCATATCTCCGAAGAAAAAAATTAAAAAAAATTTCCTCGAATACGTGTTAGCTTATTTCATGTATAGAACCCATACAAAAATTTCAAGCGAATCGAAAGTGTGACACCAAATTTGGTGTCCGATATGAAAAAGAATGCTCATATATTTAAGAAGGTTGTCACGTATTTAAAAAGTTAATATAATATTTATTTAATAAGTTAAATTATTTGATTAAAGATTTGAGATCAATCGAAATGAGTTTGATAAGGATTTATTTCAGACATTTATCTAGGAGGGCTGCTACGAGTTTGAAAAATGAAATTTAAACTAATTCCTGAGTGAATTGAAATATGTACATTATAATATTAGACGAAACAGATTTAAGAAGATTTTACATACTTTTAAAAAGGATTTCTCCATGTATGAAAAGTCGAGTTTTGTTAGCTTATATCCAAGTTTTAGGAAACATTAATATATGTGTTTCAATCGAAAGAAATTTATGAAAGCTTTAGTTTGAAAATATCTTTAATTAGGTTTGCCACCTTTTCGAAAAGTCATACCAATCTAAGTATACATTTTTTACGAGAAGGTATTTTTCGCGAAAGTCATAAGATTTGCAGCGTTCTTTCGATTTTCAAATATGAGAGATCAAAGTAAAGACCTTGGTTAGCGTGTAGCTGTGCGTTACGGTTTTATTTTATTTATTGTATTATACTTTTACTTAAAGTACTAAAATTTAATGGGATATAAAACTGCATACCAACATTTTTTTCAAAGAAATTCTGATAAAAAAGTTTGCAAATTAGATGAGAATTTCCAATTTTTTTTTAATTTTTGTAAAAAGTTTGAAAGTTGAATTTAAATAATTTTTGTTAGATAATGAGCTTTACTTTTATAAAAAATTAATAAACACTCCACAAACAAAAGGAAAATAGCAAAGAATTGTTAAAATGTCACAAACGTATTTATTTTTCCGACACTGTACATATTCTCGTAATATAAAACGCATATGCTTATGTATAGTTTTTTCTAGAAATTCTAATTAAAAAGTCTGCCGTTCAGGTGAAACTGCAGATTTTTTTCAAATTTTTATATTATATAAAAATAATAAACAGGGAACGGATTTTATGGCAATTGCCTGCTAAAGAGATAGGCTGCATTTCTTTATTCATTCTGAACGTTTGGAATAAACTTTTTTGTTTACTTATTCTTTAGAATGTTCCTGATGATATGTTAACGTATATTTCAAACGTATTCTGTTTATTCCGGCTGTGAAATGGGATTATCCGGAATGTATAAAGAAACGCAGCCATAGATTATATTCGATTAAGAATGTCCACGATTTAGTTTTCCCTGATTCCATATATACACATTTGATGTTGCCGTTTTTTGCCTTTTTGAGATATTTGCCTTTTTACCTCCCTTTTATTAGGTCGGGATGTAACTATGTAATATTGGTGCGCCTTAAAGATTCAGCGATTTCTATTCTCAAGTTACATACCTGATGACAGTACGAATGGAAATTATAATAGCGAGGTTTTAGTTTTTTAAACTATAATTTTATTTACCTTTAAGAAGTGATTATAGCGATGAAAAAGCCCTTATTCCTGATGATATGAAAGCTTTAAGCGTTCCATATATAAATTGGGCACCACTTGTATCAACTCACGTCGAGCGCACGTTTAGTACATTCAAGGCCTTTCTTCACGAAAATCGATGAAAATGCTGACAGAGAACTTCAAAATGCATGTTGTGGTTCAATGTACTACAACTATAGAGATTAAAGTTTTGTGAGTTAAAAACTTGGAAAGGAGAAAATAGTCAAAGATTCAAAGTAGAAATTTTTCAAATAATGAAACTAGTTCATAGCTTTTCTCTTTTTACCTGTAATATAAACATTTCTAAAATAGATGTATTTTTTATTATTTTTCGGTTTTTGTCTTTTTTAGTGCCTTCCTTGGCCTTTTTTGCGACTTCTATTTATTTTCCCAACACTATATACGAAATGAGACTAAATTAATCAAGTAAAAACTAAAAGCATATATGTAAGTACCTACTTGCTGTTGAAACTGTGTGATACGTATAAATAAGTGTAATATTTATTTAAAACAAAGTCATGTTTGGTAAATGAAATAAATATGAATGGAATTAATGAAAATATATATTGCATATCCTATGTATTTAAATTTGATTAAATGTTCATATTTATTAATTTTTTTTGTAACATACATACATAAAATCTTTGTAGGGAACTGTAGCGATAAAATGCGCTGCACAGATATCTACATATGCTCGAATAATGCGGTGGACCGCATTCAATAATCAAAAATTTTGCACACCGAAGTATAAGAGATTTTATTTTATTATATTATATATTTTTTATAAATGAATTATATTTTTATAAATCAAATTTTTTTGAAAAAATACACCGTGTTAATTTGAAAATTACATTTATCGACTGAAAAATAAGATATTCGAGCTAATTTGACGGCACACAGTGTGCGTTTTTAACACTTCATGTGAATTAATCGTAGCGCTTTCGACATAACCAATATTTTGATGTGAAACAAAATGGTTTTGAAAGCTAATGTAATTGCCTTTCACCGAAAATTGTACCCATTGAGCCACAATTACTCCTTGACCTTAAAAAATTGGTAAAAATAGTGTTCTTCGAAAATCCAACGGATTTATTCCAAATTTTTTATTATACTAATATTATAGATTTTGAGACGAGAAACACGATTCCACTGTTTAAAAAACGAAAAAAGAGTTTTAACCCCTCAATTTGAAAAATGCATTATACATATAATGCATATTCTATGATTTGCATACAGCTGTGCATCCTTCACACAAGTTTATATCCCTCGAACAACAAGTGCGTTTTAGTGCAATTCAAGACCTTTAAATTGAGCCAAGGTAGAAGTCTCTTGGCCCTTTGAGAGCAAAATTATAATGATGCTGAAGTTAAATTTCGAAATTTTATTCGACATTTTACGGATTTTTTTTTCTTATTTTGGAGTAAAAACTAAGTACTACAGCAGTTTCGAAGTTTTGTTTAAAATTGTTATAACCTGGCTTTCAGAGGGCCTAGAGACTTAACCTTGACTCAATTTGAAAGTCTTGAATTGCACTAAAAAATTGTGTGAAGGATGCAGAGTTGTATTCAAATAAAAAAGAATGCATTAAGAAATGCATTATTTAAATTGAGGTATTAATTTTTTTCGAATTTTGAACAGTGGAATCGTAGTGGAATTTGTAGTTTATCTATGCATTAATCAAGGAAATGCACGTATTGAGGGTTGCGGTTACCGTGTACGCACTGTGTATAGTTTTCATCGGATAAACAGAAATTAAGCTACTAACAATTATAAGGCTCAACCCCGAAAAACGCGTTTTTATACCTTAAGTCCAGATTGTTACCCCCACACAATCTAAATTCTAAGTATGCATATTTTTGTGTTTCAATAAATCTAGAACTTTATCAGTCACACAGTGTTATTATCTAGACGAAATCCTTGACGGTAGTACCGCCGTTATTAAAAGGCGCCACTGAACACTAAATTTGTAAAAATCACCCTTTTCACTTAATTCTTAGGTTTTGGCTCTTTGTGGTCAATTTTCGTTTCATTTATGTACCGTCGTTATTAAAAGGCGCCACTGAACACTAAATTTGTAAAAATCACCCTTTTCACTTAATTCTTAGGTTTTGGCTCTTTGTGGTCAATTTTCGTTTCATTTATGTACCGTCGTTATTAAAAGGCGCCACTGAACACTAAATTTGTAAAAATCACCCTTTTAACTTAATTCTTAGGTTTTGGCTCTTTGTGGTAAATTTTCGTTTCATTTATGACGTCACATAACAGCAGCTGGCTGTCAAACTCAAACCAAAGAATATAGCGGAACGTTCAGGGCGCAATCTTGTTTTCTATCATGCTTGCGTAGCTATATGGAAGAAGAAAAGACGAAAATATTTAAATAAAAATTTAATTTTCAACATTATTATTTTTGTAACAGCCTATAGAAATCGAGGTAGATATAGACATATAAAGGGTGTTTTTTTAGACGTGTGGTTTTCAATGAGGCAAAACTTATTTCGGAGTTGGTCTTTTTGACAGCTGTTAATTGATTTATACTCAGTTTGGTTTGCCATTTCATATTGAACAGACTTACTCCGCAACAACGTTTGCGAATCGTCCAAATTTATTACCAAAATACTGGTTCGGTTCGCGCGACGCACACAAGAAAATTTTGTTCAGCGATGAAGCTCACTTTTGGTTGAATGGGTACGTTAATAAACAAAATTGTCGCATTTGGAGTAATGATAATCCACAAGCCATTGTTGAGACGCCGTTACATCCTTAAAAAGTCACTGTTTGGAGTGCTCTATGGGCAGAGGGAATCATTGGTCCATATTTCTTCAAAAACAAAGCCGGTCATAATGTTACAGTCAATGGGGAACGCTATAGAGCCATGATTAATGACTTTTTCGTGCTAGAATTGGAGGATGTTGATGTGGCTGATTTTTGGTTCCAACAAGACGGCGCTACATGCCCATATAGCTAACGAAACAATCAATTTATTGAAGGAAAATTTTGGTGAACGCATTATCTCGCGTCGTGGGCCTGTGGCGCGGCGTCCAAGATCGTGCGATTTAACACCGCTGGACTATTTTTTGTGGGGTTATGTGAAGTCGCTTGTCTACGCAGATATGCCCGAGACGATTGACGCCTTGGAGGAGAATAATCGGCGCGTTATTGCCGACATGCGGCTCCGATTGCTGCAAAAAGCGATCGAAAATTGGGCCTCTCGGCTAAAATTTATTCGTGCCAGCCGCGGCGGTCAGTTGCCCGAAATCATTTTTAAAACATAATAGCAAACCCTTATCTTTATAATAGAGCTCAATTCTTGGCCATAACATTAAACTATGTGCGTTTTATTTCTTCTTGAAAACCACATGTCTAAAAAAAGCACCCTTTATAAACCAAAGTCCTCAGAATGAAGAGAAATCGATTGTTCGTCCATCCGTCTGAGTACGCTTTTTATTGCAAAAACGCAGGCGAATGTAAAGAAGAAAACAGGGAAACAGTGTTGCCTAGACCTCAGATACGAATTTATCGTACCAAATAACCTTTATTTAAGTAACTATTTTCTAAGAATATTCTTCATGAGCTTAACCTACTAGATGGGACAAGCAATTGTGTTTATTTAACGCACGGATTATATTAAAGATATATTCTTAGTACAAAACAGGGTATCAACATAGTGCAAAACCGCGTATGTGAGGTTGCATAACTTATTTTGTAGAGAGTAAAAACAATCATATTTCAAAATTATTTCTCTTTTATAAAGCAACCGCATTTCTGGCTAGTATATTTCAGCACGCGTGAATAAGGCTTGAGACAAGAGCTTCGGTGAGCAAATCCAACTTTTGGCAGCAAATGTCAGTTACGCGGTTTTGCGGAACGACGATACGCGGTTTTGTACTTTAAACGACGATATGTACTATGTATGTTGATAAGTTTGGACTACATATTTGTTTTTATTTTTCAAATTAATTTTAATTTTTTTTTTTAATACAAATATAATTAATTTATGACAACAGTTTAAACTCCAATTTCGAACTAAGTGCAGATTTAAGAAAGTTATCAAATTCTCTCGTCGGCCGCTGTGGTGTAGTGGTAAGCAGTGCGCGCTTCCACTCCACAATGCCTGGGTTCAAGCCCTAGTCAAAGCAACATCAAAAAATATAGAAAACGGTTTTTTTTCTTAACAGCGGTCGTCCCTCGGCAGGTAATGGCAAACCTCCGAGTGTATTTCTGCCATGAAAAACAGCTTCTCATAAAAATACAATCGCCGTTCGGAGTCGGCGTAAAACTGTAGGTCCCTCCGCTTTGTGTGACAACATCAAGGCGCACGCCACAAATCGGAGGAGAAGCTCGGCCAAACACTAACATATGTGCAAGCGCCAATCTATTATTATTATTATTATTATCAAATTCTCATCAAAATTTCACACTTTATTCAGAATTTTTGAAAATTATATGCAGTTTTATAGCTCAATCAATTCTACTTTATAACTTTTTTTAATTGTTCCTTTTTAATTTTTTTCAGAAATTTGTGAAGAAGACTTGGGGGAATTAATTATGAATCATTGCACGATCGAACAATGTGCACAAATAATTGAATTTTATTTTTTAAGGAAAATCCAGACTTTATTCACAATTTGGTAATGAGCGATGAAGCCCATTTCCTATTAAATGGGTATGTCAACAAGCAAAACTGCAGGATTTGGGCTACGGAAAATCAGAGAGGAGTACATCAGCGAGAATTACACCCACTCAAGTGTACTGTTTGGTGCGGTGTATCCTCCGAAAGGATGATTGGTGTCTCAATCTCTGTCAACGGTGCTGCATATCGGACGATGCTGGAAAATTTTATTAGGCCAGCTGTGGAAAACCATCCAAACTTGTGGTTTCAACAAGATGGAGCCACAGCACATACTACACGTGCCTCAATGGCTTTGTTAAGGGGCATATTCGGCGAACGCATTATTTCGCGCACAAGCGATTTTAACTGGCCTCCACGTTCACCAGATTTAACAGCTCCTGACAGTTTTCTTTGGGGATATTTGAAAGAGAGAGTGTACGTTAACAAACCAAGAACCATTCTCCAACTCCAAACCCAAATTCGAAATGAAATCATGGCCATTACACCCGAAATTCTGCGAAAAGTTATGGAAAATATGCTAAAAAGAGCACTTATGTGCGAAGCAGAAAATGGACATCACTTACAGAATATCATTTTTCAAAGCTAATTGCAAAAAAATCCCCAATAATATACTATATTAAAAAAAAAATTATAATAACCGCATAAATAAAAAATTTATAAACCATTTAAACCATATAGCTCATTCGGCGCCACTCTGTAGTATAATAAAGTACAAGTTTAAGATGGCTTCAACCTACCGTCGATTTGTCATTTTGTTTGTTGATGGTTTTGCGCATTTTCTTCCATATAAAAAACAGTGCCTACATTCGTTTATTTATTTATTTATTTTCTATTTGCTTACACATATGCTAGTGTATAAGCATAAAAGGGAATAAAAGAATTGTCATTGGCATGATAACAGCTATCAAATGCGTGCTATTGTACAGCATGCAAAAAAAAATTGCAAGTTTGCATCGATAACAGAAATTATAGTGATCAAATTGAAGTTGTCCGCGTTTTTTGCCAACAAGTTTTTTTGTGTTAAAGGCCCATACTTAAACTAAAAATGTAAAACAAAGCATTCAGGAAGAGCGTACGTACTCCTAGAACAGACTTAAAAAATAAAATCTGGCCCATTTTTTGCCCTAAGGCATCTTTTTTCAACTTTAATGATATATTGCGCGAGGAGCTTTATGAAATTTGCTTGAGTGAGATCAAAATGAAGTCATAATTTAAGATATATCAACTAGAAATTTGGCATGCGTGCTAAGAAAAACACAGGCTTAAACATGCCTATGGAGAACTTGGTCTAACTAGTGTAAAAGGGACTAGTTTCGAAGTCACTCAGTCTATACAGGGTGTCCCAGTGATAAGTGCTTTTATTTTGGGAGATGATAGGGGAGGTCTAGACGAATAAAAAATTGTATGGGAGGTGGGATCTAAAATGTAACCCTGGGGAGTTATAGGGTTAAGAACGTGACAGTAACTCTAGAAAAAAATTCTCACTCCTAAAGGCCTGTTTCCAGCTCCCAAGAAAAAAAAATCATATAAAATGCACGCACAAGAAATGGAAAAGAAATTTTCTATCAAAATTTCTTATATAAGTTTGCAGCTCTCAAGAAAAAATTCTCGTATACTCATTTCTTCAAGAATATTTACAGCAAACGCAAAGTGGTTTTTAAAGCAACGTAAATAATGAAAAGTGTTTATTATTATTTTTCTTGAGAGCTGAATTCTAAGCTTAAACGAAAACCCCTAATGGAAAACTACCTATAAAACTTTTTTTCGCTGATTGTATTAGATTTTTATTTAAAATTTGGAGTGGTTTTTTAGTTTTTAGGGAAATCTGGGCATTATAAGATTAAAATTTCAATAAATTCTGGCCCCTGTTTTACTTTGGCGGCCATTTTTGTATAAAAATGGTTTTATTAACCTGTATTTATTTATTTTTTTTCAAAATCGTCATGAAATTTCCTTCAAATATGCCCACCATATGTCATACAAATATGTTGGTTTTACTCTGGAAAAAATTGTCTCCCACTAGTCTTTTAATAGGGGTAGTTCGGAACTACTTAGTCCCCGTTGACACTAGTTGGAACTAGTTATTCATAAACGAATTGAAGCTTGTGTTTTTCATAAAAATTGTGCCAAATTTCAAGCTGATATCTCTAAAACTTTGGTTAATATTGAATTTTGACGTCCTTGATTGGCAAAATCTCACACTGTGCGCTGTTAAGAAAAAACCTTTTTTCTATATTTTTTCCGATGTTGCTTTGACCAGGGCTTGATCCCAGGCCTTGCGGAGTAGAAACGCGCACTGCTAACCACTAAACCACAGCGGCGAGCATGTTATACCAGAATTGAATTGGCTATATATATATATATATATATATATATATATATATATATATATATTTAACTGAAACAATTATTTATAAAGTTTGAAACTTTGACGAGAATTGGGTAATTTTTTTAAATGTTGCACAATGTTTGGATTTATATGTTTTTTATTATGGAATACATAGTTCATATTTTTACAAAAAAAGAATAATTCAAAGTAATTTAAAAAAAATAATAGTCCAAACTTATCAATATGTGGGTAACCCTATCACTATGTCGCGGGTTGTATATGTACTTGTTACTCTAAACTGTATCTTATCATTTCAACTAACATTCATTTTCCTACCCGTGCAGGTTTCGAATCACATACCGTCTAATTCTGCGCGAGAAGGAGTTACATTTTCACATTGGTGTATATAATCCAAGCAAGGACTTATCCTTCACTTTCAATATGCTTTTGCACACATACTTAAAAGTTCCTGATGTACGGCGCTGCCAAATAACTGGCTTACATGGTTGTACATTTATTGACAAGGTAAGATAAGTTTTAAATCCACTACCAATTGCTAGTTATCATTTTTGTACGAGGAGGGGACGCATTTTAGTATATTATTCACCTTAGGGGGGTGAAATAACACAAACGGCCATAACGCAAATTTGTGTTATTTCCCAATTGAATGTGAAGTAACACAAATTTGCTTAATTGCATTTCTCGTTGAGCAATAAGACCAACTTTTAAACTTAACAATTTAGTAATAAAGCAAAATAGTGCACATAGGTAGTCACCCAGTTACATTTGACAAAAAGTAGTACATGAACAAGTTAAATGGACAAATTTGTAAGTCTACAATTTTGAAAGTGCCCTGCGTCGCCGCGTTCGACGTCGCGCTCACGTCTCTCGCCCCCTCCCTTCCTTTCGCAATTATGAACCGGTGACGTTATAACCCTTTTTATTTTAGTGTGGTAGAATCGGCAAAAAAATATGGTAGATTTGAATAAGATGTGGTAGATTTTCCAATTCATATTTTTATTGGGTATACATACATATCGCACACCGTCGTCAAGAGAGGCACAACTCAAAACCTAGATCGAGAAATATAAGTGCCAGTGGATCGTACAGATTCAACGCAATTGATGCAAAAGCAATTATAACATTCGTTTTCTATTAGAGAATATAATCATGAAGAAAAAAATATTTTCATTAATTTGAGAAATTGATTTATGCAAAAAAATCTACCAAATTATTTTTCCATTGCATAATACTTTAGCAAATATAATTTTTGAAATATTAAAAAGTTAAGATACAGATATATTTAAGCAAAATTTATGATGTACCTTTTTAAAAATTTATTGATTAATTTTTATATTTCGTAATAGAATTGAGTCGAAATTTTAGAGTTATGTGAAAATTGTAAACAAATATTCTGTCTAAAGATGTGGTAGATTTTAAACCTTGTGGTAGATGTAGTAGACATCTAAATTTAAAAAAATATGTGGTAGATCTACCACATATGTGGTAGAGGTTTGCACACTGATTATAACCGTTTAGAAAAAAGAATAATAATAAAATGATACTAGTTCACTTCTGAAACTGCTTTTTAATGTCCAAGTAATGGGAATTATTGCGTATGGTGTTATTGCATGGTGGAATTATATCAGGTGAACTAATAGTAGAGAGAGAAGAAAGATTTTGACACTGCCTTATTTGAAAATTTGCCTATAAAATGTGACTATAAGGCAGCCGAATATCATAAAGTAAAGCGAGAAAGCTGTATTATTATTTCACCTGTTTATTACGCCATTCATCCCACCTGCTTGTACCGAGTATACGCTCAAATTCAGAAGTCTGAGAGTAGGTAAAATTATATATCTTTTTACCTCACTATTGGCTCCGTCTTCGTAAACGAAATCCACAGTTCGGATATAGTAAGTGATGATAATGCAGAAATTTTAACTGAAGATAAAACTCAAAACAATATTCTCTGTATTATACATATGCTGCGAACAGCAACGGCTACTTTGGTTTGTTCCATTCCATGGCGGAATTATACCAGGTGAAGTAATTAGAGCGAGAAGAAAGATTTTGACACTGCCTTATATGAAAAATTGCCTTTAAAATTTTACTATAAGGCAGCCGAATGTCAGAAAATATAGCGAGAAAGCTTTTATTACTTCACCTGTTTTTTGCGCCATGATTCTATGCAAACATTTTAAGGTTTTCCAGCAATATTTTCAACATATTAAAAAGTATGCAGACAATGCGATATGTCCAATTTATATATATGCGTTCATCGGCGTAGCCAGAATGAAATTAAGGGGGCGCTCGACCCTATTAAGCTGGCATTTCAGGGTACTATTTTATATATATATATAAGGAAAATTTGAAAGTTAGGGGGCGGGGCTCGAGCACCCCCCTGCCCCTACCTGGCTACGCCCATGTATGCGTTATATATATATGTACGCGTTATGTCCAATTTGCCGAGCAGTTATTAAAGACAACGATTTCCCTATATTTTGTTAGACTCTTCATAAGTAAAAATATTTGTTTAATTGTATTTTTGGAATAAACAAAGTCCTTTTTCCTTCTGTCAGTAAATTTTTTTTGTTACAAATAGTATAAATGAGCAATGTGAAATAAGGAAAAATTTGTTTTATTTTTTTTTCCAACGGCGTTATTGCCGTTTGTGTTATTTCACCCCGCCTTCACCTTATTTCATAATGATTATAGTAGTGATAGGGGGATTCAGAGCCACATTTTGTATGGAAGCCGATGTGCCATGTCACACCCTAATAATCCACTGCCTAACAGGCTAACCTAATATTCGCGGCTTGCGTTTTGGTACGCATGCCGTCGAATTTGTTTTTTTGCGTCACCCGAAATTGACTTGCATGCGTTTGCATTTGATTTCATTGAGCGAAACGTCAAATCAAAATGTCACGCAGAACAAAAATTGGAAATTGAGTTAGCTTCATACGCACGCCGTTCAATTTCGGTTGATCTCATACAAGATGCATGTGCATGAGAAATTTTTGACAATAAATTGGCGGCGTGCGTGAATATTAGGTTAGCCTGTTAGAACCAACCCCCAAGTAGTTACAAAGTTGGGTACATTTAGCAAAAATTTTGTGCATTCTTTTAGGAGTTTTGAGGCATAAACAACTATTTGCCTCTTTCCCACCTACAGAAATCAGTGTTGTCATCTCGCTCACACCAAAAAGCGTTAAAGGTTTGTGTCTGACCACGCCAGGTGGCGCTACACTTGGAGCCGCAATTTGTATGGAAAACTCCGCACCCTAATATCCCATCCCGCAGACCATCGTAAAATTTTATCGCATACTTCTAAGCCTTTGCAATGCCGAAGAGAAAAGAGTTTTTTATGAATGAGTTATTAGTTGTCTCTTTCGCACTTACATGAAATATTAGGAAAGCAGTGTAGACATCACCCTCACTTGACATAGGAACACAAACAGTTCTTGCATAATTTTAGGCATTCATAATACCGGGCAAAAAAGATTTCAAGGTTTTTTTCTTTGCTATTTTGTTACCATATCTGGTATTTTACCCGCCAAGTGAATCTGGAGGCAAGGTTAAAATAAAACATCTGTTTAGGCCAGCCCCCTACATGTGAATTTATCGAAAGAGAAAGCGGCTGTGGTGGAGTGGTTAGCATTGCGCGCTACCATTCCACAGGGCCTGCGTTCAGGCCCGGTCAGCCACACATAAAAAAAAATTAAAAAGGCGCGTGTAGCACCGTACACGTGATAGAAGTGAAACTTTTTAAAAATGGTGTGAGTACCAGGCACTCACGAAATTTGGTGTGTAAACATATACCCCACGGCAAACCATTAGGCGATTGAGTTACATATATAGGTTTGGTTAGAAATTAAACATAAATTTCAATTCATTTTATTCATTTTCCGGTAACACCACCTTATATGAATTCGCACTGCTAGCATCCTTAGGACCGGGTTATAATGGAAGTAACTGAACGGAGTGAACTTTCACATAATTATCTATTGTATGTTTAACAAGTAAATGCAAAGGCACTAAGCAATGTACGCACTTTTGTTTGCAAAATGCATTTATTTAAGTTGAAAGAAGACAAATTCCTTTGTTCGGCCAATTCAATTCCAAGGCGAATTCATATATTCTTATCACGAATTCATATATTCATGTGTTAGCAAGAGTATACAAACATAAAATAACGTTTCAAATTATTCGCACAATTATCACGTATATGCGTAGTCCAATTCACGAAATCATTTCACGAATTTAAGTAGACAACGCACAAACTTCAAATTTTTGTTATAATTTGTTAAAAAACCCTAAGGTAAAGTCGCCCTTGCCCATATGATTAGCATGTGCTACGAAATAGTTTTTCGCATTTTCTGAGGAACGTATTATTTTGAGTTGTGACTCTTTTGAAGACGGTGTGCGATATGTTCATCAGAGTATATCAACGAAAGATCAATTCATACAAGGTGATAGCGGGAGCACAAAAACTATAAAAAATTATACGCACAATTACAAATATGAACAAATGCACAACAAACACATAATTTTTTACAATCAGTACAATTCGCATTGATATCAACGAGCAGCGTTGCTAGCTCTAATTATATAGATTTGTTTTCCTTTGTAATACATATGTGCGTATATACATGTAAACGTACAAACATAAGTACATACATACAAATATATGTACAACCATTCAAACACATGTATATGCTTGAAAACATTGCATTACATGTCCATAAGTACATATGTACACACAGTGTTACCGCTGTGCGACTAAAGTCTCAAATTGACATTTTTTGGAAATCGATGCTCCCTGACACCGACTTTTTAGAAACTTTTATTAAAAATCATGCGACATTTGCTCCTTTTCTTTGATTAAAAATTATATATACATATTTTGACAATATTTTAATAAAATATTAATTTTCAAAGGCGCTTAAAAATTACATCTCTGGCAAGATTTTGACTGACTTCAATTTTTTTATTATGCCAAAATTTTTTGCTTAGCGTTAAATTAATTTTCGTGGTTCCCGGTACAAACAAATAATCGGCGATAATTTATATACAAGCTTAAAAGGCTAAACTTTGTAATAATAATTGTTATCTATTAATGTTGCTTTGTGTTATATTGATGTAAGTACTTTTTTAATTGCAATCTTGTTTCCGTAATAAGTGGAAAATATGCATATTGCGTATTTATAATATATCACTCATCAATCAGTTTTTATTTTAAGAGAAAAAAGTATTTTTAGCAGAAAATGATCTCCATTAGCAATTAATTTAAAATAATGGGTCATAATCGTAGATGAAATAAAGTCGAGTATGAACTGCCCAAAAACGAAGAAGCCAGACAAAGTAGACAAGCGGCACACAGCCTTTCCACCATAAGTAACCGGTACGACGCAAGGAATACCTGCTGGTGCTGCAAAAGGCGTGGGCACCAGCGTTACCATTGTCACTACCCACGGCGACTGTTCTGTTCCCGTTGCGGTCAAGACGGAACTTTCTCCAGAAAC